AAAAAAAAAAAAAAGGGCTTGGGGTGTAGCACAGTAGCTCAGTGGAAGAATGTCCCTGGGTTCAATCTCTAGTACCACCAATAAATAAATAAATAAATAATGTAGGCAATGGAGGTATAACTCAGTAGTGGAGCAAGTGCTTAGCTTGCAGGAAACCCTGAATTAATTCCCAGCACTAAAATGTATGAATTATGATATGTTAAGAGCATTGTAACGTTTTTGAGCAACCAATAATAAAAAAAAAAATTCCCAGCACCAAATAAAAAAGAAATTAGCTATTCAATGAATATCTATTATGTAACTATTTTAGTATAATGCTAAGTTTATAAGTTATAAAAAAGATTTTTGAAACTTTTAGGCAGATATAAAACACAATTTACAAAACATAAAATCAATAATTTATGTGAAAAATTGTTCTCTCCTCCATTTTGTATTTTTATTTTGGCTTTTTTTGTGGGGGGGAGGCATAATAAGTGTTGAACTTAGATGTGCTTTGCCACTGAGCTGCATCCCCTGCCACAGTCTGGCTGGGCACAATTCAGGAGCCACTTGAACATGCCAAACCACCGCAGCTCCAGGAAAACCTTCAGAGCCCCCCACCGTGGGCTTCCCACAAGCCTCTCTACCTCCCCCACTCCTTTTGCTCTTGAGGCCGATTGGCTGGGTCGCATGGGCGGAGCCAAAAAGTCCCCCAATGAGCAGCTCAGTGGTCTGAAAGGGCGGGGAAACAACCTAATGAGCATCACCGCAGAGGAGCCAATCAGTTGGCAGCTAGAAGTTTGCTGGGGCCTCTGTAAGCCAATCATCAGCTGGCAGCTRGAAGTTTGCTGGCAGCTGGAAGTTTGCTGGGGCCCCTTGGGCTGTGGCTCTCAACAATCCCCAGACTTTTTTATTTTTTATTTTGAGACAGGGTCTCACTAAGTTGCTGAGGCTGGCCTCGAACTTGGGATTCTCTTGCTTTAGCTTCCCAAGTCACTGGGATTATAGGCATGTGCCTCTGTGCCTGGTCATATGTTTCTGATAGATGGAATAAATTAGGGGTTATCTGCTTAATGTGAGGCTAAAGCCTTCCGCCAGTATTTATAGAGAAAAACTTTCTTTGCCCTGATATATAATCTTATGGAGGCCATGGTCTAAATATCTATTTCTAATTAGTTTTTCAATTTTGTTTTTTTGGTGCTAGGGATTGAACCCAGGCATGCTAAGCATGCAATATACTACTGAATTACACCTCTACCCTTCCAGGGAGTGTTTTTTCTTGTTCAGCTTCAAGTGGTTGCTTTTGGGGAACCCTGTGTTCCTTGAGAGCCACTGTTGGAGAAAGGGGCCTAAAGTTTCAGGGAGTATCCAGAGTTGAGGAACTGGAATGGGAAATGAAAGATTAGAACAGAGGGGTACAAGGGATGGAGGCTTGAAAGAGGATATATCAAATGATGTAAGGAAGCCAAAAGGAAGATAGAAGGTGGTAGGAGGAGGAAGGAGAGAGCTGGGGATGTAGTTCCGTGGTAGAGCATGAATGAGACCCTTGGTTCAATTCCCAACCACTCCCTCTGAAAAAGAGGAACAGGAGGAGCAGGGATAACAGAAAGGAGGAGCCAGTTAGGGGAAATCTTGTTTCCCCAAAAAGCCATTGATGTTCCAGATTAACCTTGGTAGTGATGTCAGCAAGAAGAAGATAGATTATTTCTGGTAGTTTTATTTTTTATTTTCATATATTGATTAGAAGTAGTGACAGAACATACAGAGGCTCAAGTAGGAGTGTTTAGTCAGCCAAGAAGTTCCCATGGGAGGAGTAGTAAGAAATGCTTCCAAGGATGGGGGAGGGAGGATCTTCCAGCCCTGGGTAAATTAGCACTTGAAACCAAGAGCATTTTCAGCCCCAGTGCTTAGCAAAAAGTAGTTGCAGAAGTGGCGCACACCTGTAATCCCAGCGGATTGGGAGACTGAGGCAGGAGAATTGCAAATCCAAGGCCAGCCTCAGTAATTTGGCAGGGCCATAAACGACTTAGTGAGACCCTGTCTTAAAATAAAAAATGCTGGGGGTGTGGCTAAGTGGTAATGTGCCCCTGGGTTCAATCCTTGGTACCAAAATAAATTAATAAGAAGTGCAGTTGTTCTCAGCCATATGGCATCAGACATTTGTTTGGAGCCTTGGACTAGGAGGGGGACCTCACCATGGACTGCCCAATTGAGCAAGCAAACCTGAGGTGGCACATAAGTTTTTGAGCATGCTCTGACAGTCCAGTGGTCCTGATCTAGATCAGAGTCCTGATTCTGGTTGAAGAGGTAAGGACAGAAAGTATTTGGTGACTACTAATGGTAGGGGAAAGAGCTAGGCTTCATTCTGACCCTGGCAGAAGCAACTAGCATTTTAAAGAGAGAATTAAGGAGTAGGAAGGAGGAATGTGAGGTGCTTGAACAAAAGTAGAAATCGACTAAAGAACGGAAGGATGATTGAGCACCATGGCAAACAGTTGTAATCCCAGCCACTCAGGAGGCTGAGGCACAARGATTACAAATTTGAGGCCAGCCTGGGCAATTTATGAGACCCTGTCTAAAAATAAAAAAGGGCTGGAGGTATAGCTCAGTGGTAGAGCACCCCTAGTTTCATTCCCTGTTTTAGTCAGCTTTTTTGCTGCTGTGACTAAAAGACCTGACGAGAACAACTTTAGAGGAGGAAAAGTTTTCAGAGGTCTCAATTCATAGAAGGCTGACTTCATTCCTTGGGCTTGAGGTGAGGCAGAACAACATAGCGGAAGAGTTTGGCAGAGGGAAGCGACATGCATGATGATTAGGAAGCCGAGAGAGAATCTATTCACCAGATATAAAATATATACTCCAAAGGCATGCCCCCAATGACCCACCTCCTTCAGCCATACTCTACCCACCTTCAATTACTGCTCAATTAATCCCCTCAGGGATTGGGTTAAGGCTCTCATAGCCTAATATTTCTCCTCTAAACCTTCTTGCATTTTCTCACGTATGAGCTTTTGGGGGACACCTCGCATCCAAATCATAACAATCCCCAACACCACACACACACACACACACACACACATACACAATAGAGAAAAGAAAAAAAAGGGTTTATTTTATTTTTTGTTGGTCCATGGAAAACACATCTGGGTTTGCTACTCTAGTTTATGAAGTTACACTCCTGGGTGGGGGTGTAGCTAAGTGGTAGAGTGCTTGCTTAGCATGTGTGAGGCCCTGGGTTAAATCCCCATCATTGCAAAGAAAATAAATAAAAAGACAAGAAAAAGAAAGATTCCTACACTCCCACAGAAGCTGGGAAACAGGGGGCTCTGTTTCAGGTGTTGGCTACAATAGACTGCTTATGTTCTTAGGCATTCACTTTGAGGAGGCCTAGAATCATCCTAGGGACATGACCATGAGCTGTTAGAAACTATGTTCAGGTTTGTTCACATCTGCATGGGCCAATATGATGGTTCAGAGGAGCCTGGCAGGAGTTTGCTAAGGGAGAAAATTTTTGTCAAGGTTATTGCAATGATGGGGCCTGGGGGAGAGAGGTGATAGTACTATCCAGTCTTTGAGGAATGGAATAAAGATGTCAGATTCAGATTTAGTGGGCTATTTCCAGTCCAGCCCAGAGCCCAGGGWAGCTGCTGGGGCATTGCTCATGGTGTTCAGGAAGTGCTAGAAACTTGAGTTTCCAGGCAGAGCAAACTTGTTGGTCTGTTGAGACTGGCCTATGGGGCACCTGGCTGACCTGGTCATCACCCCAACACATTCATCCAGGCTGTTTTTGCCTCGCCCTAGAAAGAGTCCCATCCTTTTGGTACTTTCCACATAWGGATCCTCCAGCCTAAGGCCTGTGCTTTCCTGGGAGCCAAGAAGACAGCCATGCTCCTAGCACATGAGCCTTGACCAGAGCGGCTGGCTCTGTTGTGGGGGTTTTCCAAGAAGTAGGTAGGTGCCAAGGCAGGTTCAGGTGTGACTGAAGAATACCTGTGAAGGATGGAAGGGCATGTTAGACCATGATGCAGGTCTGGCCATTCCAGTTCTGTTCCTATGGAGACCAGTTTTTATTTCGTTACGCAAGGTTATTATGGTTTCTGTTGCAACAACTTACCTCTGCTGTGGCTTGTGAGAGCAAGCACATGAACGAGTGAGCTACATTCCACGCCCATAGGGCTTTATTGACAAAATAGGCAGCAGGCAGGACCCTTACATGATACCCAGGACAGATTTGTTTTCTTAACTCAGGTGACAAAGACAAGAGGCCAAGTTCTCTGACTCCCTCTTCTTCCCTATTGGAGGGTGTGAGACAGTCATGGAAGGGGTCATTGTCCAGAGTTCTGCAAAAGAGAGAGGCCAGGCTCTCTGCTGCAAAGGCCTGGAGACCCTGCCACTATCTGGATTTAATAGGGTATTTTGCAGCCTTTTTATTTCTAGTCCCTTCCTTAGATACTCAGAGAGCCCAAGTAGAGTTAAGGGGTCAGCCCCTGGGTTCACAGATGTGAGCAGATTGCAGTTGGGTGGAGATTCAATGCTAGCCTCCCTGTGTCTTCACAGCCTGTTTAAGTGCTGCTCAGGGATGCCATGTGTAGCTGTACCTTGGCCATTCTTTAAGAACCTATAGTGGGGGTGGGGATGTGGCTCAAGCGGTAGAGTGCTTGCCTGGCATGCGTGCAGCCCGGGTTCGATCCTCAGCACCACATACAAACAAAGATGTGTGTCTGCCGAAAACTAAAAAATAAATTCTCATTCTCATTCTCTCTCTCTCTCTCTCTCTCTCTCTCTCTCTCTCTCTCTCTCTCTCTCTCTCTCTCTCTCTCTCTCTCTCTCCCTCCCTCTCCCTCTCTCTCTCTTTTTTAAAAATAAATAATAAAAAAAGAACCTATAATGGAATGTGCATGCCCATCATCCTAGCTTCTTGGGAGGCTGAGGCAGGGGAACCCCAAAAAGGAACCTATAATGGTGCCAGGTGTGCCATTAGCTTGGCTGGGGGTATAGCTCAGTGGTAGAATATTCCAGGGTTCAATCCCCATTACCAAAACAGACAAATAAACCTACATTGGCTGTCCCCTGGGATTATTGGGCCCTTGTCTCAGTCCCTTTTTATCTTGCAGGACCAGCCCCTCTAGTGCAGGGTTCATACCTGCTCCATTTTTTGCTAGGAGTTTCCAGCCCTGTTCGGCAAGCTCCAGGCAAGGCTCTCCCCAGTTTCCTTGGAGGACCTGTGTGCAGAGTGGGACTACCTCTGTCTTTCAGTGCTCACATGTCACCCTTTTCCCTGCCACTGTCCTGGTTGTCATCACACCTGTGGCTCTATACCCTCTGCATGAGGGCAGGACAAGGCATGCCTGAGCCAGTCATTCTTAGGGTACTGGTGGCTGTCATTGGTTGTGTTCAGGATTATAAAGTACTTCTCAAATGGCTAGTACTGCTGAAGACCCATTGCATCCATGTGTTGACCTGCTATGGAAAACGGGGAACATGCAGCCCTTTGAGTTCATTCTCAAGGAGGCTGACTATGGCCCTTTCTGACAACTGCCTGAGGTCACCTGTGCATGACCTGGACTTTTCTTCTTGTTGCTTCTGGTAGCTGCATGCGCCCAAGCACCATCTCATCCCTCCTTGAACTTCTGAATCAGGAAGACATGAGCAGAGCTGGTGCATCTGCTGCTCTTCAAACTGAGGTGGGGATGGAATGTGGCATAAGATTCCAGATCTTTGCAAATGAGTCAAAGTCACTTCCTAGTTATCTTTCATGATTTTTATAAAATGAGCCTATAAACCAGGTCATACAAGTAGTTTGTATTTTTATTTATTTATTTATTGTTTATTTATTTATTTATTTATTAGGTGTAGATGGACACAACACAATGCCTTTATTTTTATGTGGTGCTGAGGATCGAATCCGGGTCCCACCCGTGCTAGGCGAGTGCTCTACAATCCCAGCCCCAAGTAGTTTGTATTGTTAAAGAATTTTTGAGTCTTCATTCTACTGGTGCTTCCTTGAAGTATATTTGTGGAAAGGTAGTYTCCACCCAACTTTTCCTCTTTAAGGAAAGATGAAAGGGTATATAGCTCAGTTGTAGAGCCTTGCCTAGCAGGTATGAGGGCCTGGCTTCAGTCCCCAGCATGGCAATAATTAAATAATAAAAGAAAGATGAGAATACTGACCAGCTGACAAGTGATGAACTATCCGGCTATGAAGAACAAAAAGAGGCAGAGAAAAGCATGGGCTGCCATTCTGAGCTCCGGGAGCTCTTATTGTTCCTTGTCCACCATCATACTGGAGACCTGGGACAATTACCCATTTTATAGAAGAAGAAACAGGCTTAGCTGTGGGAGAATGTGCTGAATTCCACGGTCCTGCCSTTAAGGCTGGGCTTGTGGCTGCCCTCCCTCCAAGGTGGCCTCTGAACCTTCCCTCTCAGCCTTCTTGTCCATAGATTGCTCAGTCTGCAAGGGCACCTTGACCTTGGAGGAACTTGTGCCTGACAGACCTCGAAGGAGCTAGTGAGTAAGAGTAGAGGGTATGGGCTGGGGATGTGGCTCAAGCGATAGCGCGCTCACCTGGCATGCGTATGGCCCGGGTTCGATCTCAGCACCACATACAAACAAAGATGTTGTGTGCCGGGGGGCGGCTGCAGCAAAATAACCGAGGGTGACCAATAACTTCTGTAGATTGATACAACAGGAATGGGAGCCGTTTATTGTAGGACAACAGAGCTATTTATACATTTTGCACAGCTTATCTTAATTAGCATAAACTAGATACATCAATCAACCAATAAGGAATCTCCACACTTAATGGCTCGCTTTTGTTACTTCTCAAACCACTCCCTCTGACATTTTGCCAGGCACCATCCAGACTTGTTTACGAACTCTAACATTTCTCTGGCAAAATACCAGGTGTTATTTTTGACTTATTTACAGACCTTAACAGTTGTGTCTGCCGAAAACTAAAAAAAATAAATATTAAAAGAAAAAAAAAAGAGTAGAGGGTAGCCAGTGCAACAGCACTCCTGGGAAAGCCTGCATCCAAACCTAAAGGACCCTTTGACTGCAAGAGACAGCAGCAGCCTGACTGGAAACAACCTGTGCAGAAAAGGTGCAAGTTTTGTTTGCAGGCACAGCATCTTGGCTCTATTCTTATAGCTTCTTCCCCTTTAAGATGACAGCTGAAGGCATTCAGAAGGTAGGCACTCAGCAGAGAGGTTGAAAGGCTCTCTTTGTGCTTCATAGCCAGATAGTTCATCACTTGTCAGCTGGTCAGTATTTTCATCTTTAACATCCCCAGATGATCTTTCTTTTAATTTATTTAATTATTGCCATGCTGGGGACTGAAGCCAGGCCCTCATGTCTGCTAGGCAAGGCTCTACAAGTGAGCTATACACCCTCTCATCTTTCCTTAAAGAGGCATAAACATTTTCCACAAATGTACTGCAAGGAAGCACCAGTAGAATGAAGACTCAAGAAGTGGGGAGGTGGCTGGCACACAGACAAGCCTGGTATCTGTTGGAAGTTGGGGCATGGGACAGCACAGATCTGGACAGTCTCTGCTGTCCAGATCTGTTGGGAGTTGGGGCAACTGTGGGTCTGTTGGGAGTTGGGGCATGGGACATCACAGATCTGGACAGTCTATGCTGGGAGGATATGGACATGTGGGAACAGTTACTCAGGCCCCTTGAACTCACCACCCTAGGCAGTTTCACATAGTGTGTTTGTCCTGCTGTCCATGTCTGTTTATTTAGGAAAAGGCCATTAGAGTGAACATCATCTGCCATCTGCCCCATAACAACTGTGGGTTGTCTTCCTGGGCCCCATTATGGGTAACTGTGAAATCCTTTGGAATGGGGCTGGGGTTGAGTGGCGGAGTGCTTGCCTAGCATGTGTAAGGCACTCAGTTCAAGTCTCAGCAACACATAAAATAAATAAATAAAGGTATTGTGTCCATCTACATTAAAAAAAAAATCCTTTGAAATGTCCTCAAAAGTGGAGTTGCTCAACTTCCTGATTCTTGGGAACTACTAGAGCTGCTGGGTATGTCTTTGAGAAAGGGACAGGGTCTGATACACCCTGGTGCAGATGATTGTGCCAGGCTAAAAGTTGTGAAACACTACTACAATCAATTGCAAAACTGTTGACTCTGGGTGTCAGTGGCCCACCTTGACCCGAGGGTAGCTGCCAAGCACTCCCCACTCCCCACCAGTATGGAGATCTTTTATGTTGCTCGAACAGACCTTGAACTCCAGGGCTTAAATGATCCTCCTGCCTTCCAGGTAGCTGGGACTACAGGGATGTACCACTATGCCTTTCTAACTGCCCACAAGTCTTGATTGCCCTCTTCAGGTTTCTGGGAGGACAGATGGTGATGGGAGTTGATTGAGATAGGTGTTCACAGTTTGTTTTTGCAGGGATACTGTCTAACCAAGCTTATGAGGGTTTTATGGGATGCTTGGGTATTTTTGTGTTTGTTTGTTGAGTTCAACTCAGGGACACTCAACCACTCGGCAACATTCCTAGCCCTGTTTTTTTTTTTTTTTTTTAAGAGACAGGGTCTCCCTGAGTTGCTTAGCGCCTCTCCATTGCTGAGACTGGCTTTAAACTCAAGATTCTCCTGCCTCAGCCTCCCAAACTGCTGGGATTACAGGTGTGTGCCACTGGGATTAACTGCTCAGGTGTTCTTGTTGCTGCTTTGGGAAAGAAGACCTGACCCTTGCCTAGGTGCATGCGGCTGATCCTTGAAGGCTGCTGGATACACATATTAAGAGCACATGGCAAGGAAGAGCTTGAAATGGACAGATTCTTGCTGTAATAAAGACAGCCTCTTCCCCTGACTCCAAGAAGAAAGAGAATCTTTCCAAAGGGCATACTCTATCATCAGGCACAGCCGGGGTGGACTGCAATTTTCAGGCAGCCAGGAAGATCTGGTTGGCAGAGAGAGGCCCTCCTGAATGACTGAGTTCCCCGGGGAACTGGAAGCTGTAATTGTTTTTCTGGGTCTTCTCTCTTTATGGGGAATGGTATGTCCATTATCATTTTTTGAACAGGGAGGGCTTGAAGCAGTTTTGTTTTTTTTT